GCTGGTTCAGGAAATCAACTGCAGAACATACTGAAAACAAGCAGCATGAATCCTGCCTGTGACCGCTTTCTCTTGTGCTGATGCAATGTGTCACCTTTCAAACGCAGTCCCTTAAGAGATCCAGCCCTTTTCTTTAATGCAACAGCACAAACAGCCAACACAAATGGGAATCTTCGAAACCTTGCTTTCAGCCAGACCTGTACTACCAACTGCTGATTTCTCTGGGGAAAAACAGCATGCATAAAACAAGACCTCTCTCTCTTCCCAGCACAATAACCATGAGGGCAAAGGCTGCTGGCATCAACAATTATACCAAAGTACATCAAGAACAGGAGACTTTGCTCAAAAGATGCAGTGGGCTATGCCAGCATAGCCCTATCTTGCTCATATAAGCTGTGTAGCCACTCTAAGAGTTTGGCCTGAGAAGAGCACTGAGACACTGGGAAAGCTTTTCCACTCCCTGGCCTGGCTTTATGAAGGAGGGGAGGAAGGGACTTGAAAACAAGAGGAAGAATGGCAGGCAGGTAACACCAACACGCAAGAGCCATGGGGAGAACAGAAGCCTTTCCAGCACTGCTTAGCACTGTGCTGGGAACACATAGGGAGCATGCAAAGATAACCCTGTAATGGTCAGCAAGCGCTGTGCAGAAAAACATGGAGGAAAGGGTTCTGCATCTCGCAAGCAAGTCTCACAAGCATCTCACAAGCAAGCGAGTCCTAGGCTTCCTGCAGCTAATCTGTATTTGGAGCAGAGGGCAGACACCCAGCTCCATGCTGGAAGGACATGAAGAGAGAAGGCAGTGCCAACCACAGGCCTGCAGACTCAGAGAAAAGCCATTTCATACTGTAAGCCTTTGCTCTACAAGCTCGGCACTGACTTCACGCATCTCACCCTCTCTCTGTTGCAGAGTGCGTACACACGTGCGTTTCTTTTTCCTTTCTTGATTTTTGTTTTTCTCCTTTTAACCAGCTTTCTAGGCAATGCATCAGGCCTACCCCCTAACTCATTACCCTGAACAAACCAGAGGGCTGCTCTCAGGATGAAGGCTGCAGGCAGAGAGCTGACTCCCAAGAAGACCATGCTCAAGGCAGCTCCTGCACAAATCAAGTCCCCATATGGAGAGAGGTGAGCAGTCCTTCCCAGCAACAGCCTGAACTGCACAAGGCACAGGAGACAGGGCGAGGGCTGCAGTTCCAGGCAGCAGGCACTCCCACAATGAACATAGAGCTACCTTCAGAGAGGTCAGCTGCCCCACAGTGTGGTCCTTCAGAGCTAGAGCATCAGAACTTGCTAAGATCAAAGTGGCTGAGGGATGCAGGGACTCCCTCCCACCCCTTCCTGGAAATCTGCATTTCAGTTTGCAGTTCAGCCTACAAGCAAGCTCCAAGCTCCCCAGGTTCATTTCCAAAATAAGGAGGAACAGCAGACAGCTGTGTTGAGACCAGACATAGGCAAACCTTCCTCTGACTCACGCAGCATCTCAGAAGCCATGGCCCATTCGGGGCTCTGCCGCTCCCTGTCCCCCCTTCGATGCCTCTTGAGCCATCAGGCAAGGCCTGGGACCCTGCAGAGCCAGTTCAGCCAGTAACAAACCTGCTCCTTAGCTTCAAAGCTCCAAGCTGGGCCTCTGCCTCCTTGTGTGAAAGGTAGCATGGAGAAGAGGCAGCGGGCTTGGCACACCAGGCAGTTGCTGCAGGACCCATCGGGAGAGGGGACGGCTCCCAGGCTCAACACTGTGGGCTGCCCAGCAAGCTCTCAGTGGCAGGAGGAGCAGGAAGCAGAGTACCCTGCCACCAAGAACTGCTTGGTTCCCAAGCCCTGAAAAGGAGCACCTAGATTAAAAAAGCCTTTACAGTGCTGTCACTCAAGGACACGGAGACAAACTCCATTTTCCAAACATTCCGTTCGTCTTCAGCCTACCACGAAAAGCCTCGGAGAAGATCTGGCCCAGCTTCCAGCAATCCTTATCATCCTTGCCCATCCCTACCCATGGCAGAGCTCTCAGATGCTTTGATATGCAAATCATGCACAGTATCCATAACCAGCACTGTCTGCAATTAGCAGCACACACGGAATATCCTACATGCAGGGCCTCCTCCCTCACGAAGCCGGCACCCCACGGCTGCGCACGATTCACGTCAGACACAACGCAGGTCGCAGCTGCCTTTCCTGGGAGCGGGAGGTGCTGCCTGCGGAGTCCTTGGGACTTCAGCATACAGCCTCACCCTGGCTGCCAGGACGGGGCACTTATAGGAAGAATGCAGGCTGGCATTGCCCCTCAGTATGGGCAGGAGGGTGTCAGAGGAGCCGCTGGCAGGACGCTGCAAGGCTCACCACGACAGGAGGCTCAGGGAAAGTGTAATTAGCAACAGACAAAAAGCAGGGCCTTGGCACTGCCAGCTCTCAGGCTTTTACTGCAAATCTTATGCTACCTGGGATTTTCTGACAGTTCTAGTTCCAAGAATGAAATAATTTCATGAAGATTTTTTTTTTTTTTACAAAAACAGTATGAGAAAACCCTCAGAGCAAGTTCCTAACCCACTCTGTTGCTGAAGAAAGCTAAAAAATATAACCAAGGATATTTTAAAAACCCAGAAAGAAAAAAATTTTAGAAACTCAAACAAACAAGAAGCAAAGCACACTCGGTATTTTTCTTTTCTTGGCTCAACTAATGGCTCCAGGACAGTTCAGGATAGTCGTACTGCACTCTGGTCAAAGGGCAAAAAAATGGACCATTGCAAAGCCTCATGGCAATGTCTTCTTGACAAGAAAACCGACACCCTCAGAAAATACAGTAGCTTCAGTTCCTTCCAAGGTTATTGAAGACAGGAACAGACAAAAATAGAGCAAACTTAGCGCAACAAAACATACTTATGAGCCAAACCAGAGCCTCTTCCCAACCCCCTCAAAGGCATCTTCTTTCATGTTTATTTTGCTCTTATGGTATCCAGGCAAAGACTGTAGAATGGACTTCTCTCCCCATAAAGATAAGTGTATTCCTGCTACTAAAAGGCTCAAGAGGAAAAAGGCCTTTCCTAGGTAGACACCAGCTAATTGCAGTCATTAGAAGTAGTCCTTAATGCTTTGCTATTTCTGGCCTGAACAGAGTCCTCCTGGAGTCAGTTAGGAGCCGAGTGGTTGGCTTTACACTCTCTCAGAAGCCTTAAGAGAATATAAAGCTATTAGGGACCATACAGCACGAGTGTTTGGAGGGGCAGGGTACTGGTTCCTGCAATACACTTGCAAAGGCTCTGTCCCACACTCAGGTGGGGCATCTGCAGGATCATCCAAGAAGCACTTGTGCCATGCAACCCTTCAGTGGCTTTGCTAATGGGACTGCTGCTAATGGGATGCTCCTGCCCCGCAACCCCTGGCTTTCCATGTGTGCTTAGTCCAGAGCATGACGTGATGGAGCAGGACACTTTCATAGTAACAGACAAATCCGGGGGAGAGGGGAGTCCTCAAGGACTATCCACAACTAAATTAGCCACCCTGAACACACACTGATAGGCCTTCTGCTTCTAACTCCTACTTTCAAGGGGAGAGCAAGGGAGGGAGGTGCTCAGAACCCCAAAACACATGGTCTCCATCCAGCTGAGAGCTACCAAACCTTCTATGGACACCAGGCTGACTGCAGCCACCTTGCAGATTTTTGGCGTGATGCCTTCTCCAGTAGGTAGCTACATACAGGGTGCACTCTAGGACAGGAGATAAAAACATGGTTTGCTGATGTGGAGGGGCTGGCAATCGAGACAAGAGCAGAAAGGGGCTGCTTGGCTACCTGGTCAGGGACACGAACCCCATCCGACACCCCTTCGCCAAGTATTCCAGGGTAGGAGAAGCAGGGCGGTATCAGAAACCTGCTCGACGCTCCAACCCTCGAAACATCCCTGCTGCCTCGCTACTGCTCGCCATGGCAGCGGCGCCCGGACGAGCGGCAGGGAGGGGGGGGCCAGCAGCTCCCCGAGCACGCACAAAAGCGGCGAGCGCAGGCGAGACGGGGCCGGTGCCGCCCCGCGGGAAGGGGGCCGGTGACCCCCGGGGTGCTCAAACCACGGTACCCAGCAGCCGCGGAGCAGAGGGACGGCAAAGGACGGGCGCCTGCGAGGCGGAAAGAAGCCCCAGCGGGCCCTGGGGGACGGGCGGGGGAGGCCAGGCCGCCGCACGGGCGCCGCACCGGGCGCGCCCCCCGCCCCGCTCCGCCCCAAGATGGCAGCGGCGCCCCCCGCCCCGCCGCCCCCGACAAGGGCTCCGCGCATCGGCTCCGGGGCCCGGCCCGGCCTCGGCGCCAAGACCGCCCCCCCGGCCCCCGCCGGCAAGCACCCGCCGGGCCTAGAGGAGCCGCGGC